GAATATCGATCGTAAACTTTACTCTTGTCAGCGTCCACTGGTATCAATACGATCTACTCCTGAAAATATGACGGTATTGAATGGAAAACAAAAAGTTCTATTAGGTGGTAAGCAGCTTAAAGATAATGCTTAGAAGGAATAGCTACGGTGTACTAACGTTAACAAACTTGAGTTGCTTGATCGTCTGACTAAAAATTGTGAACAGAATTCTTTTCCAGAGGGAAAAAGTGCAAGTTTCTCGTTCGTTTGAGGATTTAGGCAGACAAACAGGAATTCCAAAGGGTCTGAAACAAAAGTGGAAAATTCCGGAGGAGAGGGGGGGTTAGCGATTTTGGAATTCGGAGGGCAAGGTGGGGATAAGCATTTTGGAATTTCCGAGGGCAAGGGGGGGTTAAAATACTCATGCCACCCGTGGTAGGGTATGGATATTTTCTGGAATCACCCATTATTCAAAAAAATAAAATCTATTACAGTGAAAAAAATACTGTTTTTCCTGACATTAAAACAACAGACAAATGTGCATTATCAGAAAAGGAACGGGATAGGCTTAGACTTATAATATTATTTCTCAGTATGTGAGAACTCATAATTCCAGTGTGCGCCTAATAACATTTTTCAGCAGGTCATCGGTGTGTGCGAGGTGTTATCTCATGTTAAAGTGTCTTTTTTTAACGGCGCTGCATTGATTCTTAATCAATATCTTTGTGGCGTTTTGGAGCCCATTCCTAAGATCTTTTGTTGGCATCATAGGGGTTTTAACAACCCTTTGGGTCACCCTTATTTGATGGGGTTCATGTGTACTATTTTGATCAATAGTTTGTATCGCAGCAACCAAGGCACCACTTTAAAGGCTCTTCACATGCTGTCTTCTTAACCACCTCACATTTTCACTGAATAAGCTTTGTTGATACCGCTCCTATTTATTTATTTCTCCTGTTTTCGAGAATTTTGCTACTCAGGGCAGTTGTGGGATGAGCCATGCTCGTCCTTGCCCATTATCAACTGACTATACTCTATATTATTTGGGGCAGTTTGGGGCTTGCTACTCTGGCAACTTAAGATAACCATGCTTGTCCTTGCTCATCGTTGTTTCATTTTATTCTTCAGTATTTTTGTTTTATTTGGGGCAGTTTGGGCTTTGCAATGCTTGCCATTACCTGTCAGTGTTATTGTTATTGACCATGGTCCTCCTGTTTTATTACTTTGGCTGTTATGGGACTTGCGGCTATAACTAATGACCGTTTTACCCTTTCCCGTCTATTTCATGTTAACTGTTTCGCTGTCAATGAGATTGGGCCTTTTAGCAGTCTCACTGCTGCGGTAACAGTCTGTTGGGCAGTATTTTTGTTTTGGTTGTTTAAGATTCAAACAGTCTCTTTCTTTTCTGCCTTTTTCTTATGGTTCTGTTTTTCAGATGCCTCCGTGCTGATCCACTCGGTCAAAACAACCATCTAGCCAAGCCTTAAGAGTCTCTTGTGGCTTCACCTCCTCGGAAGAGGCGTACTGCACCTTATAGTTCGCACTCCAGTAGTAATGACAGCAAACCAGCCCCTCAGTCATCAGTTCCTTCTGGGCCATCTTCGTCTCCTATTCCTGCAACCAGACCCACCTTTCTTCCTGCCCTGTTTGACCAGTTGGTTTAGCGGGTAGCAGCTGAGGTCACCACACAGCTCCAACTAGGGTCTTCTTCGCCTGCTGTTCAGGAGCCCAAGTGCCATCTCCTGCCCCTGCGTTTTCTCCTAGTTTGGCCAGGACAACAGCAGTTCAACAGCTGACTACAGAGGTCCCTGTGGTCAAGAAAATTGTCTAGAGATGGTTGGGTCCATGTGTTTGTGGGCGTTTTCACAGGCCGCTTTCCAAGTGATATTCCGAGCCTTATGAAGTATGGCTCCACCATCCAGGACCTTCCTAAAAGGGGTCACAACTGGCGTTTTTTTATGATGAAAATTTCCGGTTTTTGAGACAGGCCCCTTCTACTTCCCTTCCATGGGAAACCATTCATTGGGAGCTTTGGCTCCACTCACAAAGCACGGTCAGTGCAAAGAGGGCACAGACCACTGCAAGTACTAGAAAGCTTATGCCCAGTCTTCGTATGCCTTGGGGCTTTTGTTTTACTTACAATAGGGGTGGTGACTGTATGGGCTCTTCCTTTAGGCATGATTGTTTCAAATTTAAGGGCTCCCACCGTGCTTTACACTGTAATTTTCGTGCCAAAATTGGTGGGATTCAATCGCAAAATAGAGGTGCAACCAAACCTCCACCCCATTTAACCACCCTTGGTCCAGCTCAACAGTTACCACCCCCGTAAACATTAGGTGTATGCTTCCTTTTCTCTCTGGGTATGACAATTCAGTTGTGCAGTTATTTGAATCCGGTTTTACATCTGGTTTTCCTTTGCATTTTGATGGACCTCGTTGTTCTCAGGAGGCTCCTAACCTGCTTTCGTCTCAACAAAAACCAAAGGCTGTGAGTGCTAAGCTTTCTAAGGAACTTGATGCCCATAGGCTTGCTGGCCTTTTTTCATCCCCTCAACTTAACTCATTTAAATCGGGGCGGGCTACATTTATCTAAGCCCGGCACTGCCCTTTTTGCGGAGAACTTTTGTAAATATATAGATTAGGCCATTGTC